AGAGTGAGTACAATGTCCAGCACCGATTGAAACCCACCCTTAGTTGACACAATCTCAAAGAATTTGTTAGTGTAATAAAACTGCAGGTGATGTGAAAATATGTTGTTTGACCCAAATCTGAGTGCTCTCAGGTTCAGGAATTCTTCCTTTTGTATTTAATTTTCCTGAATATGTATATGTACGCGTCTTTTTGAGTATATGATTCTTCCTGCCTTATTGCAACCTCATGTTTGCCTGGGCAGCTTGCTGACTCAATACACTTCTTTTTTTTTCCTGGTAACTCCTCAGCAACCCTTTGAGTTGCTGTTTGTATTGTGTGTTTTACAGCTTGGAAGTATTTAATTCTAGCAGGAATTTTGGGTTTTCTCTTGTCTTCTTGGCTGCTAGCATGTTGCTATAAATTGTTTATATTTTGTTGCCTAATCTCACACTTCAAAACAAGTACTGACACCGTGAGTTTCTCTTAAGCCCTTAGCAGCATTTGGTGGCCACCACTGTCTGTTTAAAATCAGCATTCACGTATGCTTTTCCCCACCTTTAAGAACAGAAATAGATGTAGCACAGCTTTTTTGCAGCATCTTTGATCCAGGCCCTCTTCACTGTTTGAAAGCTACTCCTGATCACTGGAGCAGGATCTCCTGACAGAAGGTCTTTTCATTGGACCAGAAGCTTTAAAGGCGTGGGCAGGACTTTACGGAATCTGTAGAGCTGGAGCTAAAAAACCCCAAGCATTTATTTACATGAATTGCATGCCTCAGGGAGCAGTGCATTGGCGGATATTTATCCTAGACATGTATTCAGCAGGAGGTTTCCTTGAACTAATATGCATTAGGATGTGGCTCCTTCTGTTTCTTTTCCCTGTAATGCATGTTAGCCTTTTCTAGGGCTGCCATAATTCTGTGTTTGTTTTTTAAATGCATCTCGCTTTTTTGGATTGTCCAGGCCAATACTAGATGTTCACATCATTAAATTCAGATGCCAGGAGATGTTTCTGCAGGTGTACTTCAACTGGAGGGGGTTTGATCGGCCTCAACAGCCTGTGGGGCCAGCAGCGGGAGCTGGGAGGTGCTGGATTAGGTGCTGAGGGCGATGGATAGGCTGGTGAGGATGGATGTAGGGGAGTTCATGGTGAGCAGCCTGGGGTGAGATGGGTTAGAAGTTGCATAGGGAGGCACTAGGATCCATTCCCTACTGGGGCATCTCTGAACAAGACCCTTGCTTTCAAGCAGGGACGTACAGAAGGGTCTGCCCTCTGCTCCCCAGTTCCCTCACCCTGTCCTTCTCCCCCCTTTCACCATTAGAAACCTGCGTGCATCATTGCACCCTTGACATCAATGAATCTCTGCTCCTGCTCTGAGTTTTACTCATGTAGATTAAAATACAAGGGCTGTAGGTTATGGAGGAGTGTCTGGAGAAAACTTAGGATGAAACATGGTACGTTGTTGTTACTAAAGCTGCTTGTAAAGTCACGCAAACTAACAACACTTTTTTCTAAGATTTACTAAACTAAGTCTTGCAAACTTCAGTAGATGCCAAACAAATTAAAAATGGCATTTTAGAACAAGTGTTCATTTGCTTTTTAAGATAAAGCACATGGGCTTTTTTTCTGTGGGTTTGGGGAAAGTTCTTTGTCCTAAAATAAGCTAAAAGTTTGCCTCTGTTGAGTTATTTTAAGATTATTTGTTTTACTAATAATTCAACATCTATTCAGCATTTCATTTAAAGGCACTTCAAAAAACAGGCGAGTTTGTACTTCAGCATATGTATAAGCTTTTGTCACGTATTGCTGATGTATTGTAGTCTGTCTCAGCTTTAAAGGAAATTCCACTATAGGACATGTAGGAATCCATATACATTAAGAAAGCAGTGTTAATGGTTGCAAGTTTTCCCCTTGGATTCCATTTCCTGATTATAAATCTCCCTTTTTTCTTTTTTTTTAAATGTCAAAAATGCATAATGTGTAATATGTCTAGTCTGAAGGGCTTTAGTGTTGCCAATGTATGCCTTTTATTAGTGTAAAATAGTTTGAAGATTATACACACTCCAGAACTTAGTTGTGCTTTCAGCTGCTGAAACTGTAAATGTCAGTATTTTTCAGTATTTTCAGTATTTTTCATCCAGTTTGGTCATGCTAGAAATAACATCTAATGCTGTTTCCCACATCACAACTGAAGAGTTGTCATGTTTATTTAACCAGCTCCATCTGGCTTCCAGTAAGTCCTAAATTTCATTTTGTCACAGCCATGCATGGAATCTTGCCATGCCCACAAAATGCAGAGAAAATTTCTGCTAAGGCTGGTTTTCTTTGTTGAACGAAGCATTCTGTTTGCAAAAGAGGGGATTAAATATTTTTTCAGATTGTGCCCTACCTCGCAGATTCCTCACTCCTCAGAGGAGAAAACACAGATCTTCTGGCACATTCCCACTGCTGGCACTGCTGCATGTGGAAAAGGTTTTTTGGTGGTGTTTTTTTGGGCCAGGCTGGAGGTGATGAGGTCAATCAGCTGTAGCAGCCAGTGCCAAGCTTTGCGCCACCACGCTGGCAGGCTGTGGGGACCAGGAAGGTGTGGAGCCGTCCCTGCCACCACCTCACAGCCCCTGGGGAGAGGCCGTGCCCTTGGCCTCCGGGCAGCTCGTCAGCACACGGGGTTCAGAGCGTGGCCTCTGCCACTTGAGACCAGCATCATCAGCCACGCAGCCTGTGGTCTCGTCTTACTTAGTTAAGAACCTCCCTGCCACAGCTTAAAAAAAAGAAAAAAAAAAGGAAAATCTCTGATATGGTCTTTCTGCAAGCGTGTCATACAGGAGGGGAATTGCTTTTCTTGCCCAGCCTGAAGAAGAAAAGGCTCCAGGGAGACCCTGTGTGTGGCAGTCTTCCAGTACCTAAAAGGGGGCCTGCAGGAGAGATGGGGAGGGACTCTACCAGGGACTGTAGAGATAGTACATGGTGGAACAGTTTTAAACTGAAAGAGGGGACAGTTAGATTAGAGGTTAGGAAGAAATTCTTTACTGTGAGGGTGGTGAGGCACTGGAACAGGTTGCCCAGAGAAGTGTTCAAGACCAGGCTGGATGGGGCTTTGAGCAACCTGGTCCAGTGGGAGGTGTCCCTGCCCATGGCAGGGGGGTTGGAACTTGATAATCTTCAAGGTCCCTTCCAACCCAAACCATTCTGTGTTTCTGTGCTCATGACTGAGGGCTGCAGGCAGGAGATGCCACATACAGCACAGCCCAAATGCAAATTAAGAAGAAAAATATGATTTTAAGAGTAGAGAAGTACTGATAACAGAGGAAGTCTTTTCAAGTGTTTGCAATTATAACCGCTCCCTGCACCAGTTAACGAGTTGTTAGAAGCTGAATGGAGAAGTTATGCATGCTTCTCTGATTTTAGGAATTCCAGATTTTATTTATAATGCAAGACAGAACCCCCATTTAATTTCAGAAATGCAGCAAACTCTTTTTTCCTCAAGTCTGCCAAATCATCTCGTATTTTAACTTGTTTCTGGTCAGAGCCTACGTTGACCTTCTGTTCCACCTGACTGCCTGGTGCAGGAGGGGTGTGAGCTGGGCAGGGGATGAGCCACCCCAGGCAGGGGGGCAGGAGAAGCGCCCGCAGGAAGTCCAGCGAGCATCCCTGCTCCCCAGCCCGCGGTGTGGGCAGCAAACCCAGGCGTGGGCACGCATGAAGGGGTGCTCCAGATCTGCATTGCAGAGATGTGTCACGGCCCCGGAGGAGGCGCGTTCAAAATGGCCGGTTAAACAGGCACAGGAAGGAAAGCACAGGACGACAGCTTTACTGCTGATGAACTGCTGTTTTCACTGCTTAATGGTGTTTACTACATGTGTGGATTCAGACTGAAGAGAAGACAAACCTGCTCCCTCAGCAGATAAGAGTGGAGCTTGTTCCCCTGGAATATATAGGCAGAGAGGTTCCTCTGTCAGCTCGCAGGGAGCACAGAAAAGCGTTTCTTCAGGGACACGTGAAGGGCATCCTGTCAGTGAACTGTAGCCATGTGTATGGTAAGAAGTGCAATCTGAAAGGAAAGAGAGTAAAGACATTACAAATAATCCAAGGAACAAGTAACTTAAGCTTGACCATAATTTGAAAAATGTCATATCATTAACATCTTCTGAGAAGATAAAAGCTGTATTGGTCTGATTGGTTTTAGTTATGGGAATAAAATATGTACGTAATATTTAAGGCAAAGAAATAGCTGTGTGGGAAATTGAGTCCAAGACGATGAATGTCTTAAGACGTATCTCAGTACTATGTCCCTGTATGAGTCTGCTTTATCTAGGTCTGTTCTGGGTGGTATTTCATTTTTGTGGGACGTGTGTGCATTAATGACCTATTTGGGGAAGGAGAACTGTCGGTTCTTTTGCTCTGTTTTTCTTCTGGCTCTTGCAAGACTGTGTTAGGTCTACTTGGACATCTGCAACTTTGAAATAAGCTTTTAGATTCTCTAGTAGTCAATAATTAATCTGGGGGTATCTGAAGTGTAAAAGCAGAATGGCGTATTGGCAAGATTTTGTGTATTCAGATCTTCTTTTGATGTTTCACAAAGATTTGGAGAAGTGGTGTTTCACAAAGTCCAGTTTCTTAATGAGGTTATTTTTCTGGTGTTTATGTAGGCTTAAATTGGTCTGAGTAGTTTTCTAGTGCTTTCATTTTTTCCCACTACTGATAAATATATCAGTTATTCTCTGAAGGACACCATCTGATTTTTAAGATTGTGAAGTAGGCATGTTTTACTAACTTTTGCAAACACTAGAGCCTTAAAAAGCGTGATTTTCTTTAAACGAGATTTACTGTTCTGTGATTTTTTTTATATGAAAAAGCTTTTATTTTATTCCTTTTCATTCATATCTATATGCACACATAAAAATACATTTTTATAAGCCTTATGCAAAGTCTTGTTGCTACTAAATCATTTGTTAAAAGTACAGTAGTTGAGTCTACGTTGTTCTCACAGTTCAACTGTTTTGTTCTGTTCTTTACACAGGAGCCCTTACCAAAGTTAAGGAGAGTAAGCGGCATGTGGAAGAGGGGAAGATGGAGCTCCAAAAAGCTGAGGGCATCCAAGAACGCTGTAACATTATTTCTTTTGCGACCCTAGCAGAAATTAATCATTTCCACAAAATTCGTGTGAGGGACTTTAAATCACAGATGCAGCATTTCTTGCAACAGCAAATACTCTTTTTTCAAAAAGTGACACAAAAGCTAGAAGAAGCTCTTCACAAGTATGACAGTGTTTAATCTCTGAACTTTGATTTGTGGACTTCCCTCAGCATGACCGTGACCCAGGCGGCAGAGCAGATGCTGCTGCTGCTGAAGAACCGTTGCCAGTGGTAGACGGTGGTACAAGGATGGTTTTGTGTTCACCTGGAACCCCGGTTTAACCTCCGATTATGTAGAAAGGAAACAGTTATAGGGCTATGTAGTAGAAACAGTACCACGCATTGTAACTAAGTTATACTGTGTATGCCTACACTACCATTGTAACTTTTTTGAAATAATAAGTATACTATTTGCCTTATTGCTTTTTGAAATATGGTATTTTAGTGCATACTTTGTAGACCTCAAAACCCTTTGGGTCTTTAAGGAAGCTGGCTAGATAAAGGCCTGCTTCAGATGCCTTTTTACTTTCCTAGATTTGGATTTCCTAAATTCAAATGATTCTCTGTTTACAGACTCCTACTAGAGCAGCTATGTGATTCTGTGCCTTTAGACTCTATTTTTCCTTTTCTAGTAAGTCACATTTTTATGATTGAATGAATGAAGGGTTGATGCCTATGACAGGAACTGATTATGAAACCTCACATTGACTGGAAAAAAATCAGCTGCCATCCAGTTTGCACAGCAAGTACTGTCTTAGGATAAATGTTGGCTTAAAAAGGAGAGCTTAAATCTATTCATACTTTCTCTGAAAATGGAGACTACTTGTTAAATGTACTAGGATGTTAAGCACATATACAAAAATACACCACTTAATCCCCCTTCCAAAATAAATAATACAGTAAGGGGTGTTTTTTTTTTAGTATATAGCATTACTGTGAGTGGAATTTTGAAGAGCTAGCCTAATAAAAATGACATATGTCAAGGGGATATGAATACAAGCTATATGGCTGGAACTTTTTTTTTAAGTTTGAAATGATCTGCTCATTGTTCAGTTACTGATTCAGTTTAACTTCAGACTTGCATCTACATTGCCAGTTCTGAGTTGAAACTCCACTGTGATTCATCAGTTTACTAAGTTACAAGTTTTCAGGGATGTTCAGTAATATAAATGATCTGAAAAATGTCTTGGCTGAACTGACTTGGAAAACAGGTGGCATTTTTATGTTTGTAACACTCAAGAATTAACAATTGTCTTAATTTTTGTATAAGTATTTTTGACAAGCAGGGTGCATTTATATATACGTAAACACTATCTTTTAAGGAGTTTTCTGGTTTATTTCCCTTGAATTAAGTCTGAAGTCTGTGTTGCTTACCGATTGGTTTCCTTCTTATAGGTCAGTATGAAAAGAGGGGTTTTATTTAACCTATTTTTTATCTCCTAAACAGAAATAACAAAACCTTCCAAGGAAGCAAAATGTTTACTTTTTTTGTTTGTAATGAAATTAATCAAACATAGCTTATACAAGTGAAAGCCTGGAAAAAGGAAGTTAAGCAACAGTTATATTTAAGTACAAATCATTCCTCACCTATGCAGCAGAAACGTGCAGTTCTTTCTCTCAGTCATGTGAGTTTCTGCAGCTTAACCCCACACCTCTGCTTTAGGGGAATAAGTGTAAGAAGGTAGTTTTGGTTTTAAGATTCATCAACAAATGCTTGGATATGGCTATTTTGTGCAAATTGTGTTTGGCAGTGCTTCTAGTACATAGCCAAAGAAGTAAAATGCAGAATAAAAAAGAGGCAAAAAACAGTATTTGTAAAAGAAAGGACAATCAGTGAGGAAAAACTCCATTTCCAGGCTATTAAAAGAATGCTGCAAACAGCAACAAGATTGACCATAAAATAAGGACCATAGGGCTGACTTGCTCTTTATCTTCCTCATGGTATCTTGTTCTACATTTAAAACTCACCACTTCCCCTAACAGTTCTTCCCAGCAATACACCAGCTTCCCATATGTCATTTAATTATGTGAGATAGTGATAAGCTAGGTTTGAGCTGAGTTCCATGGCTTATGTTTGCTTAAGCCAGATACTGTTTTATTAAATGTCTTTGCAGTAATAAGATCAGACTACAATCAAATTAGTCCTATGTGGACGTACTAAGATTTGTTCAGAAATTGATCTTGGTCCAGTTGAAGTATTCTAGAAGGTTAGTATTAATGACATGTATGTGTCCAGGAGGAAATTAAGCTGTGATATGTATCAGACATTATCAGACAGGTACAGTTTTCCCAAATAAACTGTCATGGCCTTCAACTTACTTTCTCACTTGTGAATTTTTGGGGTGGGAGGAAAGTGGGGTGCAAATTGGTTAAACTTGATGTAACAGAAAGCTTCACTGGAATACTGGATCTGAATTGTTTAGGAGTTCGCAAAGGTTCAAATCTGCATGTCTATTAGCATATTCCTTTTTTCTTCACTCACTATAGGGTTGGAGTGCCTACGGGGATAGATGAAAGGAGCCTAAATTCCATTAATGCTTACTGCACTATGTGAGAGCTATGGGTTTAATTTTATTTGGTATGACATTGACCACTCATGACTGATGGACTACTGAATGGTGTGGTCTGAGATCCGAATGTACTCTTAAAGTAAAGTGAATGTATATTGTGTGGGACTGTAGAAGCATCAAAGGAAATCTAACAGAATCCTTTCAAATAAATAAATAAATAAATTAATATGGAGGAAAGCGAATTAGCTCTACAGCATAATGTTAAATGCTTTTTTTTTTATTCCATTCCTGTTGTTGTTTTTGATGCATCACAGTTTTTGCACTGACAAGGAGTAACTGTCTGATATACTTGTTGGGGGTTAGAGAGGTTGAATCTGAAGCTGCCAGAAGATCCACTGAGGTGTTGGTGTCTGTTTAAATGGCTCAATCCAATGAAAACCGTGGAATGAAACTGTCAGGGGAATATATCTTCTTAGAATCACCAGCAAGTTGTGTGTGAATGTTTCTGTACAAATTGCAGGGTTAGTTTAGAAATTAACAACCTGCTAAAATGATCAGATCAGTTTGTTTCCTACCCCTTTTGTTGTCTGATGCTTGCAGAGAAGATTGTTTCCTCTATTTATGACTTTTGCACATTTTCTAGATTCTCCATACCAGCTTCAGGGTCCAAAGGCATCGCATGCTCAATTTAGAAGTGTTGTAACACTCAGTTTAGAGACATCAGTAGGAAAACTCTGTGGTGATGAAACATTCAAGACAATTCCAACACAATCTAAAAGAAAAAACTCAAAATGGAAGAATATGTTGCGTATAAAATTTATATGTTTTTAGAAAATGTTAACTGTTTAAACTGAAAATTTCACAGGTATCCTGCCCCACCTGAGGCATGGGTGAATTGAAGGGCCCTGTTTGTAGTACCTTAATATTTTGCCAGATTTTCCATATTCCAGCTGACATCTACTGTACTGGTTGTCTGTTCCAGCCTGAATTATTCTGGGAAACTTAAGTTAAAGTTGTTCGGCTATTTCTCAGAAGGAGATCATAAAAATAACAATGTTTTTTCTCCTCTTAAATTCTCTAAACAGTTTGGTTGGAAAGCTTTAGTTCTTCCATACTTTGGAACAAGGACTTGAAATTTGGCAGACTTGTTACCTTTTGCATCCTTAGATATGCCTGCTGTGCTGCCTGTGAAATTTTTTCCAAATGTTTCCAAGTTACACTTAGGTTTCTCCAGGCCCTACTGTGCTCAAGTTTTACAGATAAATTTTCTGTAGCTCCCCTTTGCTTCTAGCAATCTTGCTTCTAACCTTGGTCAGCAATGGCTAAATGAGACTTTCTCTGTAATTGTTTTTTCCTTCATCCAGAAGGCGCTGAACCTCTCAGAGCAGAAGCTGGGTAGAGAAGCTGTCAGTAGGTCCTGATGTGGCTGCTCTCTGAGCCTGGCCACAGAAGGAGAGAAGCAGCAGCCTGGAAAACAAATTTGAAGTTGGGCCTGGCAGCCACAGCAAGGTGGAGGTCAGAGATAGTCTGGGAGGAACACGTGGCAACAAAAGATCAGCAAAGGGCAAGAACTACAAAAGCCGGTTCCTCCAGTGTCTGATTATACCTTGGGCTTCCAAAGCGTCCGTGACCTTTTGCTGTTACTAAATAACCATAATAAGGAGGCACAACACGGGCACCTTATTTTCTTCTGGTGGTGAGGACAGCATTGCTTTGTTTCTCTCATTAGAAATTACTTTCTTTGCTCGATGGTCCAAGGTGTGAATATGTCAATTGAAAAGTTTGACTTTGTTGGTAAGCGGGTCCAGAGGAGGGCCACTAAAATGATCAGGGGGTTGGAGCACCTCTGCTACGAGGACAGGCTGAGGGAGCTGGAGAAGAGGAGGCTCTGGGGAGACCTAATAGCAGCCTTCCAGTACCTGAGGGGGGTACAGGAAGGCTGGGGAGAGCCTGTTTACAAAGGCCTGCAGTGACAGGATGAGGGGCAATGGCTTTAAGCTGGAGGGGAGCAGATTTAGATTGGAGATTAGGAGAGGGTTCTTCACTGTGAGGGTGGTGGAGCACTGGAACAGGTTGCCCAGGGAGGTGGTTGAGGCCCCATCCCTGGAGATATTCAAGGTGAGGCTGGATGAGGCCCTGAGCAACCTGGTCTAGTTGTGGGTGTCCCTGCTGACTGTGGGGAGGTTGGACTACAGGACCTTTGGAGGTCCCTTCCAGCCTAGAAAATTCTGATTCTATGACTTCAGGGCTAAATGAGAGGCTCTCATGCAGGCTCTGGTGAGGTGGGGCTGTGGATGTCGGTATGGTTCCATATGCTCTATTATCTGTTTTTTTTTTCTCAGGGAGGGAAGAGGGAATCTACTTAGGAAGTTGCACACAACAAAAAAACTGTATTAAAGAATGCTCAGATTGATCATTCAGTAAAAAAAAAAAAAAAAAAAAAAAAAGATATGAAATCTCAGAATTAAAGTTGCCTGTGTAGCTAATACAGCAAGACACATCATGATACACAGTCACATAACTGTTTTCTCACAGCTTCCCTGCCTGATGCAGTGTACAGGGAGTCTCCTAGTTAACTCAGGTCTTTCAGGGAGGGTGTTGTCTGTATAATCCTTACTTATTTTGCAGCATCAGTTGCACTCTGCACAGTGAGAAAGAAAGGCAGCATGAAGATCAAGTATGTCTTCCTCAGCCTGCAGGGGTGCCCGGGCAACTCAACTCTGTTCCTGCCTGTACCCAGGTTCTTCTATGCAATATAAGCGACACAGAATAAATAAGATGTATGGAGGGTGCTCTCCATTTTGTGTAGGCTTGGGTTTAAACCCAGGACTTTTTCTGAAAAAAAAAAGTGCTGGGCATTCACAGTTTTTGCTGAAGGTTGTGGACGTTCTGCTTTGAATAGAGAAAATGCCACAAAATGCAAAGTTCCTGGAAAAAAAATAATGAGGAATTCATTTATTTAAGTAGAATACTACAAATTAGAGGATAGTTGTGACCTGTCACCTGCAAAAGGGCAATAATAAACCCAGCTTATTTTGCTGGAATGTTGTGAATATAAACTCCCTGAAATAAAGAGTTTTCGGACATTGCTTTGTTAAGGTTTTAAAAAAACCCTCAAACCCTCCTGAGGAAATTAATACTCACTCTTCAGAATGAGGTGTGAATATTATTTGGAAAATAAGGGATGGGATCATGTGTAGAGCAGCAAAGTAAAGTAAGCCTCTAGAGGAATCTCAGTCAGGTACTGTTCATTCAGTGAATGGAAAGAGAAAGGCCTTCCCAGAAAAATCATATGTGATCCTGTCATTGGAACCCACTTTTGATGCATATTCATGGGGAAGCTGAATTAGTCACATGGGTTAACTTACTTCTGGCATTTCTTAAGTTGTGAGATGCTGCTTTTGTAATTTCAGTAATTTCTCAACGTAACACAGTGCAGTATTGTACATGCTATACATAGAAACATAAATTGTGTAATATATGCAAGTAATGTAACTTCTGCATACTTCACACTCGTGCAGTTAGCAGACCTCAGGCATGCACTGAGTTAATTTCAATACATACAACTTCTAGATACAGCAAGACTTTAATTTTCTAAAGTTAAAAGGCGTCTCCCCTACCGACTGTCTGACAGACTGGCCGCTTAGCAACTCCATTTAAAACTAAGCACTTCATTTGGTTCCACTTTGAAATGAAGGGGAATTTTTTTGCTTGACTCCACTGGGAAGAATATCAGGCTCTACAAGTTGAAATTACATCTCTCCATCAATCCAGTAGCGTTCAGTCCAGAGTATTCCCCTCCTTTGCTAGTTTACAATTGGATCTAAACTGCAAAATTTTGAATCTCATCAAAAAGCTCTTTCCTGTAATTTCTATAAAAATCCACTCCTGCTGTTTTAGGGAATATGACATTACCACTTTAAATAAAGAATCGGAAGGAACATGTTTTTTTTTACTGTTTTTAGTTTCAAAAGGCATGAAAACATTCTGTGAGAAGATAAAATCAGGAGTTTTTAATTCAATCTTTTTTCTCTTTTGATCCCTACAATTGGCTGTAACAGCTAAGTTTTTATTGGCAAAATAATGCTGCACATGAGGAGCATAACATACATGCGCAAAAAATTAAAGGAGGTAGGTGAGGCAGTACAAAGTTTTATTTGTAGTGCATTGGGGTGGCTGTATTTCTCACAGTCGGTACTGATTCACTCCATGCTATTTTTTAAAGATTTTCCTCCTGGAAAAAAAAAGCAAGAATCAGTTCCTTCATTAAAAATAGAGGTAGTGAAATAATATTATAAGAGTGTCCCCCCGCTTCCATTTTTCACCACTAGCACTCAGCTAAGATTCATAGGAGACATCTAGTTCCTTCTTTGGCTTTGAGGGGTGCTCAGCTGGCACTCTCTCTTTCAGGAGGGTACCATACCCATCACCTCCACCCCAGTGCTTCCAAAGATGACAAGGGAGATGAGCCACAAGCGCCGGTTTCAGTTTCTCAGGCAGCTTCTGGTCCAGTTGCAAAGACACGAGCAGTGTGTTTGCAAAACGCCACTTGCCAAGTAAGAAGTGTCGGTGTCCTTCAGTGCCATCCTTGCAGGTGGCTTTTGTTTTGCTTCCCTCGGAGAAATGTTGCAGGCAAGAAGACTACTCTAATTGCTAAGTGAAGGCAATGGAGGACCACGCTGCTGATTCAATCGCGGTGTTGAGTCCTTGCCATTTTTTATCTACCACAGGTAGATTTCATTTCATAAAATAGGAAGTTTTTCTCAGAGCTTCCTAAGTGTTGGGAATGCAAGCAGACATCTTG